AATCAGGCTTGCTAATAGCTCGTATAATAGCCATTCTCATCTTGATAAAGTTTCTGCATTTGGCAAGGCTTGCCCATAAAACTTGATAGCAAAATAACCTGTTTTCTGATATTAGCTATCTCTCTACTATCTAATATTGTTTTTTTAAAAGTAGAAGAGATTAGTAAAATGACGGGTTAAAAAAAATAAAGTAAAAAAATTAAAAAAAATAAATAAATAAAAAACTCTTTTTAAAGAATTAAAAAATATTTAAAAACGAACAAAAAAAAATTACGATTTTTATTAAACTTGATGCATGCAAACCTTTTGCAAGTAATGCATTATGAAGTCCTTTGTACAAATCTATCCTGATCTTCTCTTGATTTAGTCTTAGAAAATTAAGATGTGTTTGCTCTACGATCGCATACATGTCTACAATTCATTGTTAAAAAAGCCACCCAAAACGATACAAAACAATTTCCTTATCAGAGTGATCAAGATGAAGTCGATATGCAAAGTAATTCATTGCAGTAACATAATTCGAGGTTATAGATTCATCTTCTTCACCACCACTATACTCTTTATTTATTTGCCCTTGAACAAAATCATCACATAAGGGAATTGAAGGGTGCCATCCATCTTCTCCTCGAGGAAACATAAGTACATAGTGCAGTGGTGCATATGCACGATATATTTTGAAAATTCGCTTGAGTCCTCCATCACGTGGCTGTAAAATAATATCACGCTTTTGGGGCTCAACTTCATGTTCACCTCCAATCATGATAGCTGCAACTTTGCTTGCACTCAGAGTATTATATCTTCAAGGATCAGTTAATCTATTAACATTTATTGTCACAGATTAAAATGAAATCTGATCAAAATGAAACTGGAGACCTTTCATACCCACCCTTAGAGCTTATAAAACCCACATATTGTAATATGCTTGCTTGGCTTAACTAAATATTAAATATAATAATAATAAAATGTGTCATCGCCAGTTAAGTTAAACAAATATATTACTTGACTTAACATATAAGAGTGGTTAAAGAATGTTTTAAATAAGAAAAACTAAAGAAAAGCCTAAAATAAAACAAAAATACTATAAAATAACTAAATAAAAAGACA